GATCCAGACGAGGGGCCTGCATGAACTGGGATAACACATGTACAGAAAAATAGATATCCGGACGTATCAGTGTGAGATACAACAAGCGCCCAACGATGCGACGATACTTAGCTAGATCACGAATCTCAGCACTAGTGGACAAAGCAAGATTATGGTCTGGTTGAAGTGGAGTCGCGACGGGCTTGCATCCACTAAGGCCAACTTCTTCAATACACTCGCAAATGCATTTGGTGAAAAGTTGGTGCAAGTCAATGGTGTACAAAATTGATTTTAAAAATGTATTCTCTTGGTCCAAAAAATGTACTTCGTAATTGAATTTCTCATCTTGATTTACGGGTTTCACCATTATTATTATGAAATGAAAAGTCAAACTAAGAAAACAATGTGCATTAAATCTTACTACATGAATGGTAGCTGAGTAATTTTTTGGGTAACTCAGTAATTCATTTTAAGATGGAGGGATTGTCAACTTTCTTTTTTGCTTTATTTTCTTTGTAAGTATTTCGTAAAAGAATGTGTGATCCATAATATTTAGTATCATTAAAATAAATTATAGACACACATATTTCACGTTTTAATTTTTTTGTTTCTCAAACTTTATGAAAATTTAGAAACGATAAAATATTCCCACAATCCTAAACTAGGCGGTTTACTTTTTTTAGGTTGTTCCAAAAAGTTTGTCTCGCTTCTTTACTTTTCTACTTCTAATAAATTACTCTCTCAGTCCTAAAATGATCTTTCCAAGTTTTGTTTAGGAGGTTTGAATGTAACTATTTTCAATTCAATTTATTTGATTATAGATGTAAAATTAAAAATAAAAATTATGTTTTTTTAAAAATTACATCAGAAATTTTACAAAACAAGTGGTGACATGACTATATTATTCTATCAAATACTAACTAACAAAATAAGTAAAAAAGTCATTAATGTTCGGCCATATGAATAGTAACTGAAAATGTCATTTTAAGACGGAGTGAGTAAATTATATATGATCCATAGTTTTTCTATTTTTCATGAACACACTTCAAACATTTTTTTTCCAACTTTTTTGTAACACTCTAATCCGTCCAGGCCTGCAGCCCCTTTCGGACTAAAATATTGACTTCGCAATCGTAAAAATTTAAAACATTTCAAACACTTTTATTTATCACAATAATATTTTCGTAACATAAACAGTACGGAGTATTTAACAATATTGCGCAAGCGAATTTAAATGTTATCATATCACAAAAATTAATTCAAAACTTGTCACATCCGTCCCGACCATCTCTCTTCCTTCTACCTCTAGGATCATGTCACATCATTCTTTCTATTAACCTGCGTGTAGCAAATAAATACACTACACGCTCAGCGGTAAAGCTGAGTAAGCATATCTAAAGCGTCAAACATTCACATAAATTGAATCTCGATTCATAACGAACCATTTGATATCATGCACAAAATATATAATTCAAACATTCATGATATTCTCACTATTTAATTTCAAGTCATTTCATGATAAATACGATATTCAATATCTCAATAGTGCTCTTAAATTATTCTTAATCTAAAGCCAAATACAAGCTCTTAGCTATTCCTAGTCTAAAGCATTATTTCTAATTGGGCTCTTAGACTATATATAGTCTAAGACAGAACACAAAAATCAATAATCTACCCTATGAGTCATGTGAATTACGTACCAACCGAACAATGATTTGTCGGGTGGGTGATATCCGTTCTGGATCCCGTACGTACGTTTTAACCCGAAATATGAATTGGTCAAGGAGGTATATCTTACAGTTCTTCTAGATATCCTTAATAATCATCATCAATATACAAGTGGATATATATCTTAGAGTTATTCTAGATATCCTTAATAATAATCATCAATATACAAGTGGGTATATATCTTAGAGTTTTTCTAGATATCCTTAACAATATACACCGTTTTCATAATCACCATTATATTCATTTTTAATCATGATTTAATCATCAATAATCATTCTAATCAGTAGGTTATCATTCACAATTATCCATAATAATTATTCATCATAATGATCATTCAACATAACATTTAATAATTAACAAATAGCGGCCTAGTCTCGAGTGTTAATACCCGAACTTACCGTCATACATCACATAATGTTTTATATGTCAAAAACATCATTTTATTGTACAAAATCATATTGTTGTTGTTCATAATTAATTGGTATAAAAAATAGGATTTTAGAGCTCAAAAATAATATTTTTCGTAGTTGATTGTGTTCGGAACGGCCGACCATTTTTAGGTGACAGTCGAACGTTATTGCAACAGCGGCATTGGAGTTTCTAGTCTTAGAACGGTCGACCTTTGTGGCAGAACGGTTCCTGCAAACCAGCCAACAGTACTTCATCTTCAACCTCAGATCAAATTTTCGAAACATCATTTTAAGTCACCAATCTTCAATTAAGCTATATAGAAATGTTCTCCAATGTTCATAGATCATTATTTTAAATACCATTAATTCAAAGTTTTAAAAACAATTTCAAGGTTTATGATTCTTGGTTCTTCAAGCATGTCAAACACAAAACTCAACCAAATGACCATTTATGAACGTAGAAACGACCTATATGAACATTCTAGTCATTAGATATATCTACGGGCTTACCTCAAAGCTTAATGGAGGTTTTGAGAATTTTCAGGCGACGATTACTCTTAGCTCCGGCAATTTCACACCAAATTGACAACGCCACAATACTCCTTTCACTCAAGGCTAACTCTGAGAAGAAAATTTGAGGGAGAATGGTGAAGAAATGAAGAAGATTGAGTTGGCCTTTATAGGGGAGTAGAGGAGGAAAAGGCCATTATAATCCCTGTTGTGAATCGGTGATTTCACGTTAGTGGAAGGAGCAGCGCCTCTTCTGGGATTTTGTACATTATCCCTGATTGGACCAAATTTTGGTTCCAGTCGGAGTACACTTTTTTGGTACAACTTTTTCCGAATTGAATTCTGGTTGCATTGTTGCAATCAGACAGTCAAACTCTATTCAGCGATATAATTTTTATATTTAGTTGTAATACTTTTTCAGACATCATATTTTTGGATGGTTGACTTTGACAGAGTCAAAATTCATTTAATTGATTTTTATTCAATATTTAATTCATATTATTTATTTCCATGATTTATGGCAATAAATCATTTCAAAGTTTATATTGTAAACAACTTCTTCATTTATTTTTAATTTACGTCTGTACTCAAGTTCCCAATCAAGATCACATAATAAGTCAACATGTTGGATTTATCTCTATGAAATTTATCCTAATTGTGATATTGGATATCAAAACACATTTTATTTCGGCCCAAAGCCCAACAACAATTTATTTTTATCAAAACAAATTTAACTAATTGAATATTTATTTATTAAAAATTTTAGTGTATGTTTTGGGGCGTTACATTTTTTCTTTAATTCTACTTCCTCTGTCTCAATTTAAGTTGTTTGTTTAATATTTACAAGGTCAAATTTCAACCACTTTTTTTTTTACAGATTTTCGCTACCATTTGGGAAATTAATAAAGTGTCATCATCTCTTGTTTCGTACTCCCTCCGTTCCACACAACATTACCCATTTTGAATAGTATTTGGTCAAAAAATTACACACTTTGACTACAAATTGTGAGAAAGGTATATTGAATTATAATTTAAATTTAATATAATTAGATTAATCTTAGGATCTAGTTTTGGTATATCAAATTTTTATAATATTTCTTTATTTAGATTATATTTAATTTATGGTCAAAGCGTGTATTTGTTACAAAAAATACATCAAAATGAATACGGAGTAATATTTTGTGGGATAGAGGAAGTACTACGTAAAACTTTGGATAAATTACCCAAAATAATCTCAACTTTACCCGGACTTTCAAAAATAATCTCATCTTTCACTGTGATACATAATAATCCTAACTTTATTGAAATTTGCCAGTTTTGGATCGCCGTTAAGTTTCTAACGGAGGGTTAACGGAAATGCATGTTTTAGGCAACAAAATGAAAGTTGGGATTATTTTTGATGAAATTTTGTTTTTTAATTTTTTTTGAAATTTTTATTTGAATTTTTTGAATTACTTTCAACCTCCATTTCTTTTTCTTTTTTTAGGGATTATTCTTACCTTAGAAAAAAATAGATATAAAACATAATCAAAAAGAAAAAATAACTAAAACCATACAAAATTAATCAAATAAATAATGTAATCAATAGAAATTAAACAGAAACTGGTAAGAAATAAAATAAATATATACGGAGTGGTGGGTTTTAACATTTTATACATTATATGGAGTCTTAATGTACAACTTATTTTTTAAAAGAACAAGCCGTCCGGTAAAGTTGGAATTATTGTAGATAATTTTTTCTAAAAAATAAGAAGTAATATGTTAATACTTTGTATAATGCGTAAAATATTAAAACTCACCCGTATATTTTTAGTATTTTACTTTTACCAATTTCAAGTTAGTTTTCATTGATTACCTTATTTATTTTATTATTTTTGTATCATTTTAGTTACATTTCTCATTTTTTCATTTTTATATCTATTATTTTTATTTTTTAAACTAAGACTAATCTTTAAAAAAGAAAAAAAGAAATGATGATGGAAGTAGAAAGTAATTTAAAAAATTTAAATGAAAATACTAAAAAAATGAAAAATCATGAAAAAATAATTCTAACTTTCATTTTGTTGCCTAAAATGGGCATTTCCGTTAACCCCCCGTTAAAAACTTAACGGCGACCCAAAACTTGAAAATTTCAGGAAAGTTGAGATTATTATGCATCACAGTTAAAGTTGGGATTATATTCGAAAGACCGGTTAAAGTTGGATTATTTTGGGTAATTTTTCCTATAACTTTTAATGTAATTTTAAAATATATAAATTTTACTTTTAAATTTCATACAAATTTTTAAATAAGTTGAATTAGAAAGTATTTCAATTAAACATCCTAAACAACAATAGTCAAGATTATAAATTGGAACGCAATTATAAAATTCATTCAGTTTGTCAAAAAAAAATAAAAAATAAAATTCATTCAGAATGGGTGGCGTTTTTTCTTTCTAGATCCCGACGAATTTAAAACGCGGCTTCGAAATTCAGAGTCTTGACGGTTGACCCAAAATTAGACGTTCCTCTCCCTTTCCGTCGTCTTCTCCGAACAATAATAAAACCCCCAAAAGCCGCCGATAATCAGAGCGCCGCCACCAACCGTCCATGGCGACGATCTACAGCTGCAGGGAGTGCGAGACGAACCTCAACCTCCAAACAGCCGCCCTCTACCCGGCGGACTTCTACTTCGAGGCCGGCAACAAGGGCACCCTCTCCTTCTCCGCCGTCGATTCCTCCAAATTCAGATTCGAAAAGGAGGACAAGCTCCGGCCGTTCTTCGAGACGCTGGACTACTGGGGGATCCAGAGGCGGCGGACCATGATCAAGTGCGATCGCTGCGGGAAACTCGTGGGCCACGTCTACGACGACGGCCCACCCCTTATTGCCGGCCCGGGTCAGTTTCATTTTGGGCCGAGCCAGGTCGTTCCCAGAGCTCCTCGGTACAGGTTCAAGAAGAAGGCTCTCACAATTGCAGCTTCCTAATTAATTCCAAACCCAAATTTGTTTTTGTACTTTTGTAAATCGGCCTTAATAATAAAAATTTAAAATTAAACTCTATGTGAAAATATTTGTCCAGTTTTAATTTTTTACATTCAATCACTTTCAAGCTTTGACCTCCAATGGAATAAAAATTACTCCCTCCGTCCTATAATGATCTTCCTAGAGCACTATTCCAACTTCACGGGAATTTATATTTATTTGTGTTTTTTCATGGCCTATATGATAAAATAAAATATTCTTGTCACCACTTGTTTTGTTGAACTTTTAATGTAGTTTTTAAATATGTATGTTTTATTTTTTATTTCTATACCAATATTTAAATAAAATAGATTGAAAAAACTTGGAATTTTTCTTCGTTTTGCGAACCGGGAAGATCATTATAGGACAGAGGAAGTATATGGCATATGAAATACAACAATTACTATTTCAATCTCTCGATAACTTTAATTTGTTTACTCATTTTGATTTATTATTAGATAAAGTAAAACTTATGATTTACATTTGAACAATGTAATTTTTATTTTTTTATCAATTTGTAAATAAAAAAAATTTAAAAAAAGTTGATGTTTTGCACATTATTTGAAATGTAACAAATAATTTGAGATAGAGAGAATAATACTTTTAAAATATTTTACCAAAAATACTCCATCGTGCTTAATTTAAGTTGTTCACATTATCAAATTTGAATCATATTCTTTATCTTTTTTCATTACTCATTTGATAAAATAATATAATTTCTCTTTTTTCATTTGATAGATCTTTTAATATAATTTTAAATATACAAATTTTATTGTTAATACTACACCAACTTTTAATTAAATTGTGTTCAAAAGAGTTTCAGTCAAACCACGTAAACGGGAAATTTAAAATGGGACGAAAGGATTAAATCTAATGAAAATATTTTTGTAATATATTACTCCCTCTGTCTACAAATAAACTTCCTGTTGCGCGTTACGATGTTTGTTGGTGTAAAATTACATATTAAAAAATTATATCAAAAGATCAAAAAACTATAAGTGACATGACCATATAATTTTATCAAATGAGTGACGAAAATAGACCAACAAAGTGAATAACGAGAAATTTATTTGTGGACGGATGGAGTATCTAATACCAAGTATCATTTATATTTAATTAGTGGTCAAAATTGGGCAATATGGATGTTATGAGTTACAGTGATTAATTCTTCACTGCAATTCTGTTGTGGGTAAAGGAAATGTGTATTCTTCTCAATTCTTCATCAAGAAACACATGCTTATCATTTTCTGGAACCAGGCAAATCACTTCACTAATCACACTTCCAAAGAAGAAGTGGAAAATGAAAAGGTCCCAAACATCAAAACAACATGTAAACCAACAAAGTGTGAATCCAAGGCTAGGAAGATATTGAGATTAGTGCCTACTTACTGTCCTCCCTTAGCACTCCTTGCAGTAGTGGTTCATTGATTGCTTCATCTGCAGTACAGCTAGCTGGAATGACCTTCCTGTAATGGATAAAACTTCATTTCTAGCTGCTTTCCACACAAAAATGGCAGACAAAGCACTCACCATGTTGTCCTCTTCTCTTTTGCTAAGCTTCTGCACAGACCTGTAAGCTTCCTCAGATGTTTATTCTGTGTGCCTCTATCCCATTAATTACTTCACAATCTGCCGTAGCATAATCACAATCAAAGAAGACATATGGTTAGAATCTGCCTCAGCCATTCCACATAGAGCTCACATTTAGTGTCTCAATAAAAGCATGCATTTGGTCAATCTACTTCTTTAACAGGCAATCTCTCTTAACGAAAGAGAGAGGACTGTTTGGTGGTTAGGATGTGCCATCTTGCTCCAATCCACCAAGGTTTGGGCCTGTCTCCTAGGACTCGATCATATGTTCATCATTTTGGTTGTGTTTTAATTTGAGTTGCTTTGTAGTAAAATCTAGATTGGTTTTGAGTTGATTCTTTATTTAGAAGAGAGAAATAAAAGAAAATATGAATTTTAAGAATGAAAAATTTAATAGAAATAATTCAAACTTTGGCCATATTTGACCCTTTTCCGTTCTATATATTCTATCTTGTCAGGAATGTGACTTATACAGAGTAATACACACGCATGGTTTATGTCGTTTTCAAATGTGCAAAAAATTGTCAAAAATTGAACTTGAGGATTCTTTGACCGGTAGATTAACAGTTTTGACTCGCCAAATGTACACCACTAGTTCACGAAACCAAATTCTCCAGAACAGAATGTATGCATAGCATTTAGTCTCAGTAGATATTTTGCATATAAGAAAAGAGAGTAAAAGGTACATACACTAAGCAGCAGGAAAGCAATTCCTTCAACTGCCGCCATCTTCATCCATTCCCTCCTTAACGTCGAGAGCAAAAGTATATTCCTGATCACAGCCCAGATACGAATCAGACATGAAATAGAGTGTGTACATCCCTGCTTCTGCAGGAGCAGCAAAATCAAGCTTGATTTTGGACTTCCTTTGCAGAGAAAACCTTTTGATGGCTAATAATTGGTTGCTCTTTGTATCTCCCACAACAAGCCACCATCCTTCATCCTTGGATTTAGGATATCTAGGCGCAAACACGGGCCCCACCTCTGTCCCTCCCTCCAGGTCTCGCTCGAGAGTGACCTGCAAGCTCACATTGTCTCCTGCTCTCACATTACCGTCGTCAAGCACATCATATGTCAAATCAACATTCGGAAACCGGTTGCAGAAACGGGCAATGTCCATAAGCTGTGAGTCCGACATCTGCAAGAGTTCACGCCTTTCCTTGTCTTCCATCTCCACCAGATCAAACACAGTCTCTATACTCTTCCCCGGATTCTCTTGGCACTTCTTGGCCAATTCCTTTGTGAAGTGCGGAAGCTGGAGAAGCATGGAGTCACGCTCCCACATTCCCTGAGTGACCATCTGGCTCACTTCCATTGCTAAAAGTGCCAGATTCAGCCATCCGTTGCTGGATATTACATCTACCATTGCTTGGAGTAGCCTACTAGCAGAGATAAGCACTTCTTTCTGGTCAGAAGCCAGATCACCACGAACCATTTGCCTGGAAAAGTGAGCTTGCAACAGAGCATTAGCCCTGACATGGGGGTCTGTATACTTGGGATTCTCAAAGGAGAAGCGCTGATGATTAATTAACCTCCTTATCAACTCCTCGTCGCCGGGTCTAATCGGCAGCTGTTCATACTCCGATGCTGAAGATAGAATTTCAAGCAAGCCCTTCAACTTTGTCTTGGATGTCAAAGAAGAGCTAAAACGTTCTATCGTAGTGTAACTGATGTAATAATATGATGCAATCATGCCGAGATTCAGGGGCGAAAGCAAAAAGTCGTCTTCCACAGAAACACATTTGCTCGACTCCAAGTCACCGAGAGTATTCTCCACCAGCTCGGAGAGGTGATCTGAGAGATGTCTGTGGCTAACACCCTGCAGGTTATAGTAGTTTGGATTCTGAGTTAGCCTTCTATACATGAATGTCCATGTGAGGTAATCCACAGCATCCTGCTTGCTCTGAATCACTTCAGTAACCACCTCTGCATTGAAATTGTCGTGGAGATAGTGTTGCAAATGGCTCTCGACTGGGAACGCTTCGTATAAGAACTTCTTGTAGTAGTCCTTGCGTGGCGCATGGCAAAGAATCACACACTTTCCGGAGCTATCTACAAGAGGTCGACTGGCATGGCCCACCATCTGCAACAAATCACTTACTGGATAATCACTGTGTGCATTTTCCGTGCTATCATAGTACTGAGTTCCCATAACCACAACTAAATGGGCAGAGAGGGGCACTCCCCAACACATTGTGCCGCACATCACACATACTTGGATCCATCCAGTTTCAAACAATGTCTTCACTATATCCTGATCTGTGCTGGACAAGCCTTCATGCAAGTAGCCAACACCATACTTAATGGTTGCTTTAAGCGTGTCATCGTTGATCCTCTCCACGAAAGGCTCAAGATCTGTTCCAGACTGCAGCAAAAACATGGGTGTGTCTTCACTGTCCATGTCTGAGTAAGTCATTAGATCCACTGCAGTTAGGCGTGCATGCTTCCTCGTGGGGACATACACTATTGCTGGCTTTCCCATTCTGGCATGCTGTACAATTGCAGTGTAGGTGGGTTTTGTCATGGCCTGCATCCTAGCCTCAAAGTTTGCAATATCGACACCCTGAATATGAATTTCCAACGGCACAGGCCTTACACCGGGAGGAAAGTTGAAAAGGCCATGAGCCGTAGCCCCAATCCATTCCCCCAAATCTTTGGCATTCGCAAGAGAAGTCGACAAAGCAACAACTCGGGTTTTGTTTGCGACCTGGCTTGAAATATATCGCATTCGAGAGACAATCACCTCTAACACAGGACCGCCTTGTCCACCAATCAGGTGCAGTTCATCAACGATAAAAAGACTTACTTGCTGAACATGCTTTCGCTGTTTCCAGCGACGAGATAAAGCATCCCATTTGTCAGGTGTGCTTATGATTACCTGGCCCTTCTCTAACAGTTTCAAATCAGTTGCTGTTTCCCCAGTTAATTCAACCACTCTCATTCCAAGAGAATCTCCGAATTTCTTCTTCCAATCAGAGTAACGCTCCTTAGCAAGGGCCTCAAGGGGAGCTATATACACTGCACGCAATGCACTACCAGGACTTTTCTGATGATTCCTCAATATAGCAAATTCCGCACAAATGGTCTTCCCACTACCAGTTGGAGCTGCGACCAAAACATTGTCATCTGAGTTATACAAGACCGTAAACACCTGAGTCTGAACAGGATTGAAATGCTTAAAATCTTGATAAAGTGCTTCATAGGCTGAATTCCTTAATGCAGTAACTGGCAGTGGTTGCAAGTCTAGTAACTCTGTGGGAGGAGGGTACTTCTCAGGTAGAATCAGATGCCTGAAGGAAACTGGTAAAACCGTTTGAGACCCTAGCCATCTATCAGACACAACACGGATGAAGTATTGAGGAGGCAATGGTTCATAAATTGGGACTGTGAAGTTCAAAGTATGGTCCTCATCAATGTACTGCTTCTTCAGCATGAAATATTCGTGATGAAGAATATAGACCCCATCATTATCTTCCACAATAATCCAGAAAGGCTCCACATAACCATGGACCTTGTCTTCCCACTGGAAATCTGGTGTAATTGTCAATTCCACCCTCAAAACTGATCGGGTAATTGGCTGAACATGTGCTGCAAGGTTTAGCTTTGGAAACTGATGAATGACCTTGTGAAGTGTTCTTCCCATCTTTGGATAACGGATAAGTTCCCCCAACTCTTGCGATGAAAGATCATAATATCGCTCCCAAGCCAAATCTTTCTTCTCCAATCTCATCAAGATCTCATTTGGGATGCCATTGAATTGGCGAAGTGGTGTCTGAACACTCCACATCCTCTTACTTATCATCTTGCACCATTTCAAAGCCTTCTCAGCTAATACAGCCCATCCTCTTTTCAATACTATCTCAAAAAGGGCTCGCATCAGACGTGCAGCACTCTACAAAGATAACCACAAATTCAATATAAATAATAATAATAATTATGGAGTAAATAAATAAGGAGATGGACTCGGGTTACACCGTGGTCTGAATAAAAAACAGTAAAGAGAAACAGAAGCAACCCTAAAAATGTTCACATATGTGCCAAACAAACCTGAGTCACATAAACCATGTCCGATGACAATGATAACCCTTCAAGCTTCAGCTGTGAAATATATGCCTGCAGTAAAACATTGATTTTTGCACTAGGCTCCTCAAGGCTCTCTTTGACCGGAATAGGAACACGATCCAAAAGCTTGGACAATTCCATCTTCTCATCCTGCCTTACAGTTACATATCTGAACTCTTCACTGAGAGAGAAGAGCCTACACAGCTCAATATCGCCCATTGTTGGCTTCAAGTGCTCATTGTATGTGGAAATTGTCCCATGAGTTATATAGTAATAGCTAGCAATACGACCCAAGTCAGTCACCTGAAAATATCCACTTTTTCGGTCATACTTAACCAGGTTGTTTTTGTCCAGTAATGTAGCAGCAGAATGAACCTGCAAAACAAGCAAGTCTTTCAAGACGCTGGATAAATCTTCGGAAACATATATACAAGTCACAACAATAAAAGATTTCAAATCAAATTCTCCCTACGCCCCAAAAAAATCCTATTTCAAACAATGTGCAAAATCCCATCTATTTTAAAATGATTTTAGTTACAATTTGTATAGAAAGCAACTTGTGAAGAAGCCACTCAAACAACTGAATTATAATAAGCTCCGATTCATTTATAAGTAGGTGGAAGAGAGTAGGAACAAACTTGAGCGTATTCAAGTAAGCTTGCAGAAAGACCCACATAATGTTATCATGAATATGCAAGAGAAAAATATCATGGAGTTAAACAATAAGGTTGCAGCTTCCCTTAGTGTGGAAAGGCAACTAGCAAAAAATGATTGGACTATTGAAGGGGATAAAGGGTCAAGGTTGTTCTAGGCTTGGGTCAAAAAGACAAGACTTACATCCTGGATAAACTCCAGCCAGAACAGAACGGGTAATCTGATAATGGGAAATCAGGAAGTGGCTGATGTCTTTGTGGAGTATTTCAAAGATTTGTTAGGGAAGAAGGTTAGAAAGGGATTCCGGCAGAAGGCGATGGATCTTGGTCCTAAGCTTTCTGGTGAATAACAGTTGAAACTAATCAAATATTTCACTTTTGAACAAATTCAAAAAGCTTTCTTCTCAATATGAAATACCAAGACCCCTGGTCCAGATGGATACACAAGTGGATTTTATAAAAAAAACAATGGGGTAAGATAGGGGACCTGGCAATGAAGGCAGTTCAGGAATACTTCCAAAAGCACGAGATCCTGAAGCATAGTAATGCTACAAACATTACCTTTATTCTTAAAGTAGAAGTTCCTAACTCCCCAGGAAATTACAGACCTATTGCCTGATGCAACACGATATACAAGGTGATTGCTAAGCTTATTAGTGAGAGGCTAAAAGAAGTCCTACCTACCACTAACCAAAATCAGAGAGCATTCATTAGAGACAGGGAACTGGTTCATAACATCCTTCTTTGTTAAGAGCTAGCAAGAGGGCACATAAGGAAGAATATCTCACCAGGGTGTATGCTTCAATCAGATAGCAGAAACGCTTATGACTCAGTGGATTGAGAGTTCTTAGAGAAGATACTAAAGAACCTGAAGTTCCCAAATATGTTCATTGGGCGATCACGAATGGAGTGAAGACTGCCTCTTTCTCTATTCTAGTTAATGATGAACATCATGGTTATTTTAGAGGGGCTAGTGGACTGATTCAAGGCGATCCTATGTCTCTGCCACAGTATGTGATTCAAGATGGAAAATATGGATTTCTCTTTCATTAATGATGATTATGATTAGGCTTTGAGAAACATAAGTAGTAATTACTCTGACTCTTTTGTTTAACATGTATGATTTGCTTGGGATTGATATTGTTAATTGCACTGCACTATATATTTTATGTATTTGTGTGTATGCCCCAAGTTCGCCATTTGGCCACCCGCCTCTCACCTCGCCTTTTGCCTTAAAAAAGGCCCTCTTGCCTGCCTCTCACCTTTCAAAACTATGGGCTTTAGCCAAAATGACAAGTGGAGATTTCCCTTTTAAATATCTTGGAGCTCCCATCTCAGCAGCTAGAATTGGAACTAAAGATTGTGATGAATTAGTACAGAAGCTAACTAAGAATTTTAGTTGTTGACTTGTTGGGGTATTAAGAACTTATCTTATCCTGGTAGAGTCTGGCTAAATAATTCTGTTCTTATGGGCATAATCTCATTAGACAAATGCTTAGTGGTTGCAACCAAAGTTGAACTACAACCCAAAGAAAAACTATTTTCTATTAGCTTTAGTGCTGAATGTGAAACATGCTAGCAATGTGAATCACATACTGTGGATTAGGTGTAGTTATGGCCATGGAAAGAGCAAGAAAGAGATATGGACGTTTTAAAAAGAAGCAAAAGACAATTAATTTTAGCGGGCTCTTAAGATGACAAGGCAGCTGTTATTGGAGTAGACATCCTCCACTTCACTAACAGAGCAGTTATTTGTGACCCCAAAAGGTAACGAAGAGAAAAGAGGTCTACTTTTGGTAATTGAATGTTCTTTTCCCTTTCCACGGAAAAAAATTATATAAAGGTAGAAATACTTGTGTATAAAAAGAAAAATCACAAAATGAAACATACACAATAAATAACAGAACAGATTGCAAATCCCTTAAATGTTAGTTTTTAAAAAAGAGATTGAATAAATATTAGTATTTGGAACTAGCACTGTAACATCTAAAGATGTCTACAAGATTAGCTCACATCATATCTCCAACAAACACACAGGGGATAAATGATTTAGGCATTTTGAAAAGACCACAAAATGCAAACCACTAAACGATATGTTCATGTGCAGCTGACTCCCCACATATACTACTACTTGTTCTTCAACCTTTGTTATAAATGTTAATTCATGTTTAATAAAGGCACATTATGAGCAAACAGTTCAAGAATGTGTAGTGGAATACAGATTCTTACCAAGTCTGCACGCCTTTCCTCCAGAGTAGGGTCGTTCTTGACATCGTCAAAAGTAAGACCATAAAGAGTGGGATTTTGCACCATCCGAACAATGAGGTACGTATAGAGGAGCCACTTGCAAGCCTCTCTTGCATTCTGCACTGTCCCAAGGACAATCTCAGCATTCAACTGATCAGCCAGCTTAGATATAAACTGACTTTCAATAGGAAGTTGCTGATTCATTAAAGAGAGATAATATAGCAGCTCACGGTGTCCCGTTATGATGATTCCTTCACCATAAGTGTCATACTGAGGCCTTCCAGCACGGCCAAGCATCTGCATAACATCAAGAGGACTGAGTTCAGTCCATGCTCCTTTTTCAGGATTGTATACTTGTGTGCCTTTTATAATGACAGTATGTGCAGGTAAGTTGACCCCCCATGCTAAGGTAGCCGTTGAAACCAACACTTGCACATGGCCGTCAGCAAAAAGTAACTCCACAAGTTCACGATCAGCCCTTACCAACCCAGCATGATGAATTGCAAAACCATAAGGTAAAAGATTTTTGAGATCATTGCTTTTGACAAGCTCTGTATGAGACTGAAGAATTTCCCGTGTTGAACTATCCTCCTTCAAAAACTTACTCAGTGTGTCATTAGAAAGTGCAGAATCTCGTATTGCACAAGCGGTTTTAGTGGTCTCCTTCCTGGAGTGGACAAAAATAAGCACTTGATGCTTTCCTGCCCTGCTGATTACCTTGTCATAGCAAATATCATTCATCAGCTGGAATCTCTGCAACGGCTTTTTAACAGTGATTCCAATGTACTGTTGAGCCAATGGGACAGGCCTGTAACTATTGTCAAAATAGAAGAGGCCCTTATCCAGGTTAACTCGCAAAAACACAGCCACATCCTGATAGTTTGGGAGAGTAGCAGATAATCCAACCAGTCGTATATGATCTTTTGTGGTCTCAACCTGTCTGATTGTTCTAGCAATAATACTTTCCAAAACAGGACCTCTGTCGTCATGCAAAAGATGTATCTCATCAATGATAAGAAGTGTAACTAGCTGTGTATAGGTACGATCACCTGACTTTCTTGTTACAATATCCCATTTCTCCGGGGTTGTCACAATAATATGAGTTTCTTCAATCTGCTGACGAGTTAGAGTTTGATCTCCACTCAATTCTTTCACACTGACACCATAGTGCTCCAAACGCTTGGAGAGATTGCCAACTACTTCAGCAACTAGGGCTTTCATGGGTGCCACATAGACAATCTTATAATTGTTATGGTTGAAAGATCCATCTTTGTTACGGTGTGTTGCGATTTGATGAAGTATAGTGAGCATAGCTACATTGGTCTTTCCAGCTCCAGTGGGAGCACACAGTAAAATATTTTCAGGAGAAAATAGAGCAGTCTCATAAACTTTGCTTTGCACCCTGTTCAAATGGGTCATCCCACTGAACGCTGGCTGTGCCCACTCTGGAAGGGAAGAGACCTTTACAAGAGCTTCACCCGGAGCTAATGGCTTTGGTGTCAGTCTAGGCACATGAAGTTCCTCGTAACCCTTCATCTGAGACCTAACAGATGTCATCGGAAGCTGACAATTTTTCGGGACTAAACCCACCTGATGGGCGGCAAGGCTGTCAAGATCAAGCAACTGACGTTGACCCATCAACCAACCGTGATCAAGATCCCTATCAGCATGTCCCTTTATTTTCAAGTCACCATCTGTTCTAGACTCTCCTCTAAGCCGCCGAGCTTCTTCCCTAATGCTTTTCTCCAAATTGTTTTGTCTCTCTTTTGCAGTTGCCCTAGTGGCATGCAACTGTTCTAATATTGCAGCATGCTCTGGCCCTAAACCTAACATTTCTTCTTCAATTTTCTTCCGTGATTCTTGGTCTTCGGCCCTTGCAAGTCGAGTACACCAGACTACCTTCAGACGGTTTCGCAAAAGATACTTTATGAGACTGAACTTCTCAAACTGCAGATGCACTAGCAGCTTGGTTTCTACTTCATGGTCATCCCCTTCAGCAAGGATTTTAAGAACCTCTTCAGCAAGTATTTGGCTTTGTTGTGCATCAATCTGCTTCTCATAAGCTTGAGAAATCTTTCTTTGAAGCCAATAAGCATCTATATCCTGAACATTCAACGTCATTCCCTCATCATGCTCCTGCATTTCATCATCGTCGATGCCATTGCCCATCTGCATAGTGCCAGCACCATTAGCTTGCACATCGTCATCCTCATCTTCATCCTCAGGCACCACATCTAGGTCACTTTCTTCGTCTTCTTCTTCATCATTTTCCTCAAACTCAACTGCGACACCGACATCATCATCAAGAGCTTCATCTCCATTTATTGCAACATCGCCATCGCCTTGAAAGTCTGTGATGAGTTTGCCAATTGACACCAACTGCTCAAATACATTGGTGGAAATGGGATTTAACAACTTTTCAATTTCTTTTTTCTTGTCAGGGTTCTTGAAGTTATCATTCTTTAGAACGGACAAAATCTCATCAGCTGCCCCACACACAATGTTGAGGGGCTGTCCACCTAATTGCTGCTGAATCATACAGAGCATTGCCTCGTAAGCAGCCCTAGTTTCCTTGGTTTTTGGCTGGTAAACACCTTCTTCTGTTACGGTAAGGACACTTTCTTCCTGAATCTTTCTCCTCTTCTTGCTTGGCTTAGTGGATTCAGAGTCAAGATGCTTTTTCTTCCTAGCCCTCTGAATTTTCTCATCCAACTCGGGTGGTCTTCCCTTGTAGGCAAGATCCCCAAATGATTTAGGTTCTATTTTTCCAAAAAGGGACTCGGGCTCACCAGATGGTTCATGTGTGTCTCGTGGGCGAGAATCAGTTGTTAGAACAAGACTGGAATTAGCACGATACTCATACTGTTTTTGACGTGCATGTCCCTCTGCACCACCACCAGTGTGTGACATCTTCACTCAAAAGCAATCAGAAGGCCTGAATAAATAACAACAAGCATATTAAAATCTAAACCTAAACTTAAACAAAAGACAGTAATTCATATACCAACATAATAAAAAAGACAACCAAAACATAAACAATGGGCTGACTCAGGCTATGACAATAGACAAACTAACTCAGCAAAAATAATCATAAAAGACAAAATAACAAAGATGGTCTAAAAAGAGACCATCCCCATCTTTCCTTACATTTCAGTTTAAACTAAGACTAGACCTATTACAGACCCTACTATTCCAGATAGCACTAGTCTTAGCCCAACATTTAAGCAAAATTGAATATGAAGTTTTTTAAAGACGTTACTCGGTATCTTGTGAGGAACTATTTCCATCTTCTCCGCTGGATCCAAATATTCACTATTATTTGTCTTTGGAGTAAGATGCAAATGGCTCTTAAACTATCCGCGCTTCCTTTGATAGTGGAGTAACAGTTAATCCATGCAACATTTGACACTGATAATGGGTCATCTGGAAACAGCCGCTCTATATTTTAACATAGGGGTCAGGCTCCCCCCCCCCCCACACCCCGAAATGGGTGGGAGCCTTAGAGGCAATGGCGTAATGTTGTTGTTGTATTACTCAGTATTTTGCAATAAACTTACCAACAAGATTATTTAACAAAACATATTAATAATAATAGCTTCAGAAGCTGATACTGACTCAACCCACAGTTAAATAGGAGTAATTGATACTTAGTTCTACAAAACTTCAATAGGTATGAAACCTTACTGTCAGATTTGTAGATTTCAAGTTGGGGAAAGGTTCAATCAATAACTCGATAAGTCATTTAATGACCCATTAATTGAACTTCACCCAGTAACTCGGGTTTTGTTATAGTCAAAAAAGCATCCATTTGCAAATAAAACTAAGAGCAAAAGCCGGCTTCATTAACAAACATCAGCTTAAATCACATGAACAGACTCACTGAGAAAAATTGAACAGCAACACAGGAATCACACAAACATGCATACTTGAACACAAAAACACACATAGCCTTATACTCACTCTGTCCAGATTTAGTTGTCCACTTTCATGCTTTAGTTTGTTAGGAGTAAGCTGTACACTACCATATTCAATAAAGAAATCATGATGAATGGTTACAAGAGATAGGGTATGAGCATGGTGGACAAAAATCTTGATTTAAATTTTAAACTAATTCCTTAATAATACGCTTTGTAGAGAGTGGAGAACTAACACAAGAGGGGAAAAAGTAACAAAACCTTGACAAAAGTTGATTAACAAAATACGGAGTGTTGTTTGAAATGGTAAACCCTAACACATAGCTACTGAAGAAGAAAACCTAGAAAAGAAAACAAGGGAAGAAAGAAAGCAACGGATCCGCAGCCCCCAAAGGGGTTATACCTCCGGTTGCTTGGCCGCCGGATTTCACTGTGCTTGGCTCCGGTTCTATCCCCGTTTCTTCGTCTATCCTGATTTGGTCAATTTTCCTGCTGCACTGAATAGGCCTCCTGCCGTCTTTGCTAAAGAACCTCGCCTCACCGCCTTCACTACTTCGTCCTCTCCCTGGGACTCTGTCTCTCTCTCTCTGCTTTGTGAGCCTCGAAAATGAAATAGGGTTGGAAGTTGTAGTTCTATATGGGTTGATTTGGGCTCTCGACCAGACCAAGTTACCCATTACAAGTCAAAAATTCTCTCTATCTTTTCTTTTGGGCTAGGAATAGCACTCCAAGTCATATGATCATTCACCAAACAACGCCAGACATTCCACCGTCATTTCATCCCATTTTTTATTCCATGTATAAGGCATGATTTTTCCTTTTTTAATTTTTTCAATTTTTTTTAATTTTTAAAAAGAAATACTCGGTAATTTTTAAAAAGAATCAGACATATTTTAATAATAAAATAGATGTTTAAAATAATTTTTGATAATTAAAAATTATTAAAAAGTGCAAAAATAGACAAGAACAATGATTTGTCACTGTATGTTACGACACTCCACTCACTTGTCACACGATGACTGAATTATTTTTTATTAGTTGAAATATTTAATGTCACCGTGTGGCATTTCATTTGTGTCTTGTCATTGCCAATGCTCTTATATGACAAGCTTGACCGAGTATAATGGTGTACTTTCCTCGTCCTAGAAAGATGTTTCCATTTTGACTTTAAGAAAAGCACATTTTTATTGACTTTTCAAAAATACTTTTGATGTGATTAGTAAAAGTAAAATGTGATGAGTAGATTATTAGTAAAAAGGTGTGATGTGGTAGATAGGTTAAGAATTAGCAAGTGAAAAATTGTTTTTTTAAATAGAAATATTTTGTGTGATAAGAAAAAAAGGGGGAACGAAGTATTTTAGACAGAGGGAGTATGATGTAAAGCAATGAGAATATTTATATCTGTTGGGACTGCGCGTGCCCTCACCCCAACCCCGCATTAGTATGATATTGTCCGCTCTGGGCCAAGCCCTCACGGATTTGTTTTCGGGCACCTCCCAAAAGGCCTCATACTAATGGGGTTGGGTGAACCTATATATTTTGGTTCATTTACTCCTACTCATCCGGTGTGGGACTTGGAGGAATCCCAACAAACCTCCCCTCATCCAAGGACCACACAACTTCCGACCTCCCCTCCAGCGGTAATCCTTTTTTTTCTCTTTATCTGCTAACCATCTTGCACCGTCGCACACTCTTTGCGAGACACGCCGCCCAACCTCCTGTCGGGAAGACTTTCGACGCAAGGCTCGAACCGCAGATCTTTTCTTCGCTGGGCTACACCATTTGATCCGCCAAATCATCTTGTACCGCCGTGGCTATAACTTCACGGGACGCGCCGCCCGACCTCCTCTCGTCGGGAAGACTTTCGACACAAGGCACCACCTGCGGATCCTCTTTCTTGGTCTTGGTCCTATTGTTGCACCGTCACACCGAGATTTTTCCACACTGCACAGTCCGCTGCTCACGCCCGCACGAACCTGGGCTCTGATACCACATGTTGGGACTGCGCGTGCCCTCACCCCAACCCCGCATTAGTATGATATTGTCCGCTCTGGGCCAAGCCCTCACGGATTTGTTTTTGGGCACCCCCCAAAAGGCCTCATACTAATGGGGTTGGGTGAACCTATATATTTTGGTTCATTTACTCCTACTCATCCGGTGTGGGACTTGGAGGAATCCCAACAATATCGTGGTAGATTGATGAGAACTAATAAACTGTAAAGATGTGTTAAATTATGAACCAGAGATAGTTGTGGTGATCGCCGAATGTTTCGCCGTAAAAGTCGCCAAAGATAGTTGTGGTGATCGCTAAATTTTTTTTGTCGTTCAATCATTGAATGTTTCATCGTTCAATCACTGATTTCTTTGTTTAACCTCGAGGTGAATCCCTAGATATATATCCAATGACAAGAATGTGCATATATGTTGATTCTACCTTCATAAACGATCATTTGGTTGAGTTATGTGTTATAAAAGCTTAAAACATGTTTTTGATAAATCAAAAATCATAAACCTTCAAATTGACGTTAAAGCTTCGAAATAATTGTTTAAAAATGGTCTATTCATGTTAGAGAATATTTTCATATAGTTAAAATGAAGTGTGGAGGTAATACACTACCGTGAGGCGGCAACACACTACCGCCACAAGCCATTTTGTACTATAAAATCCAAATTTTGAAGCTATAAACTCCTAAATTGCTACTTTTCAATTATAAGCCTGTATTTTTATCATCACCAAATTAAAAATATTATTTTGATTAATTGTAAAACTTTAATTGTTGCATGACGGTAAACTAGCTTGTTAGCACTCGACGCTAGGCCGCTACTTGTCACTACATGTTGTATGACGATGATGATTATTAAATGTTGATTACGATGGTAATAAAAATGATAATTGTGCCATGTGTAAATACAATTATATAATAATGATGATGGCCTTGTTTTGAACTAGATTCTAACCCGTGCAATGCACGGTGAGAAATTTATTTTGTAGAGAAACGAAATATATTAATTATATATCATATAATTAATATATAATCATTTTTTAAAACATACGGAGTATTTTATTACCGTTACTTTTGTCAGAAAATGGAATTCGTCTTAAAATCCCTTATAATTGATACACCGCTACTTGAACCTAATAGTTGATATGGAAAATGCTAGGGTGTCACCACATGGGTGCTACCATGGGTGTCACCACATGGGTGCTACCATGGGTGCACCCATGCTTCACACAGACAAACACAGACGATAATTGTTTGTGCGACACAGACAATTATCGTCTGTGTTTGTCTGTGCGAAGCATGGGTGCACCCATGGTAGCACCCTAGCATGGTCCTAGTTGATATACCACATACATGAAACACATAAAGTTAATCCGACTATCATACTATATGTAGCGTAATAAATGTTACAAAAATAGGAAAATAAAAGAATACCATCATTTTTTGTGCTGCACTCGTCAACAGATTCGCGTGTCAAACTTGATACAATGACACTCGACGATTGTTTCTGACGAACAGCACGGTTATTTTCTGTATTGACATATGTAAAATTATAAATGCTAAATAATGTATATTGTATAATTTTACTACAAATTCGAAGTATCATTAATTTCTCCATTGTTTCTTTGGTAACTATTATTTTTAAATTTTTTTAAATAACTTGTAAAATTATAAAAAGGATCCGGAGTATGTTGCAATCGTGGAGAAATTTATTGAGCTAAATATATATAATAGTGATGAGTATGGTAGATATAATTTGGTCCAAGCAATATAATATAAAAGCCATGCAAAAGGGGCCCAAATACAAATTTCTCAGGTCAAAATTTGCTTTTGAAGTAAAAAATAATAAAAAGGAGTCTTACTACTATAAAAGCGGGTCTGGTCTTAAAAAAAACCCCAACATATACCCACCCCAGCCCAAAATTTTAGGGGACTTCAAATAAAAACCCTCCCCCCGTCCCTTTTTCATTTCTCCTCCTCCTCCTTAAACATCCGCCGCCCTCTCTCTCTCTCTTTCTCTCTCTCTTTATAAACATTGTTTTTTATTATAAAAATCGTGTTTTCAAAGAATTCAGTATATGAGGAGTTTTGGAACTTAAATATTTTTTTAATAAGAGTAGGCCCATTTCAATGAATTGAATTTTTCTTTGATTTTTTCTGGCCCATACCCGGCCCATAAACATAGGCGGGAAAAAAATCCTGCTACCTTTGTATAGAGATAGATAATATTGAAATGCTGTTATTATGAGCAAAATAAACCGTTGGAAAGTTATGACTGAAATTATGATTGCTAAATTATATCCATTTGTTTGCATGACTACATCTTAAATAAGTATTGTGATAAATTAATGATTAAAAATATTTAAAAGGATTCTAAGATATATATCATGTAACCAATTCAGTCAGGCCTTGCAGATTTGTATATCCAGCGGCCCAGGTTAAAACGTACGTACGGGGTCCTCAAATAGTCAAACCATTTGAGAATATTCCATCTAGAGCTACCACCCACCCAACGGTCAGCAGATCACCATTCGATTTCTGAACGTGACTTATAGACTCATGTAATAGGTCATTGATTCTTGTGTTTTCCTTAAACTAGTCATAGTTTAAGAATATCAAATTAGCCTTATACAAAATTAGTTTAAGAATATTATTATGAATTGTCCTTAGACTAAGAATGGTTTAAGAACATTATTATCACGAATAATAATTGATGAATAATAAATGATGAACTAGTCTAAGGGGCTGTTTGTTTCAGCCTCTTAATGGTTCAGATGTCTGAATGATTCAGCACTTAATGGTTCAGACTGTTTGTTTCAGCCTCTTAATGGTTCAGATGTCTGAATGGTTAAGAGATTTGCCTCTGAATGGTTAAGTATTATACAGAGTCTGAATGGTTAAGAGCTCTTATCTGAATTGATCAGACATTTGCCTCCGAATAGTTAAACAATATACTAGCTCTTAATGGTTCAGACCTCTTACTGGTTCAGCACTTAATGGTTTAGACCTCTTACTGGTTCAGCACTTACCCATTCAGAAGTTACCAAACAGCCCCTAAATCTTGAGTGGTTTAAGAACCTTTGTATTGATAAATAATTAATGAGTTGACTAAGAAATTAACATGAGTAAATGAATGAGAATGTCATAATTGTAACTTGACAAAAAAATGAGTTAATGATTAAAATCATAGTTTTCAGAATTAGATCGGTGACCGAACCGGTCAAGGTACTGGCTCACTGGTCGAACTAGTGGTTCAAGTGGTCGAACCGGTGGTTTTAGCATATTTTAAAAATTATATAAAATTATATACACACACACATTTTGTATATATCAATTATATTAATTATATTTTTATAACTGAAAAGGAATGATTTTATTTTCTCAAATAAGCTGTCTAATATTAAAAAACACGCAAATGAAATATTTGCATGATATACATTTTGTAATAATATAAATTATATCAATTATATTTTTAAAATTTAAAAGGAATCTTTACACAATCTTTTTTTAATTATGAAATATTATAAAAGATGAATTGAATTTGTAACAAAGAGCACTCTAGATGGGATGGTTAGGAAATTAACTAAATATCTAATGATTTTGAGTTCAAACCCTCAAGTGTATGCTTTTGGGAAAAAAACACAAAAATTCGCAAAAAAAGGTTGACCGGTTCGACCGACCGGATCTCACCGATTCAAACCGGTTCAGACTGGTTCGAAGCAGATCACGGTCTAAAGGACTAGACTGGACCTGTTGGACCACTGGTTCACCAGTTCACTGTCCGAACCGGCTCGTTTTTTAAACTAGGATTAAAATGATGAATTGTGTGATATTGAATCCCTGGAATTACACCTTGTTTGCATGATACTTTATGACTTGGTTATGAATTGTGATTTTATTTATGTGAATGTTCGATGCATTAGATATCTTCACTCACTTTTATCACTAGATGTGTAATATGTTTTATTTACTATACGCGGGTATGATTCATATTAGAGATGGAATACACTTTAGAGAGCAGCAAGACATATGAGATGTACGAATGTAGGTTAAAATGTTGATCAATTCAAATAAATGTTAAATGAATGAAATTTTGGTAATGACTAAATAATGAATTCTGTTTATGAAAGCTTCTGCACTATTATGAAATCTCTGATAATGTTTCTGATAATGTTTTATGAATATTTTATTCTATTGAAATAAAGTTTTAAATGTTTTAAATTGTGATTTTGCCAAATTAATACTTTAATCTGATAGGGGCTGCAAACTTGGACGGTTTATTATGTTACATTTCTTCTTAACCAAACAAGGGAAATATTATTTTACATTTTGATTCTCTTGGTTAAGAAAAAAAATTTACCTAGAAAATTTCAGTTCTAGTTTCTAGTATTTTCACAATATAAGTGGTAGAAAATTAATTTTTGAGAAAAAATATTCTTCATCATGACCACAATGATCGTCGTCAAAAACACCTGCAAGCTAATCAATGATGCCGATGACAACTCTATTACAACGCCATCAGGCATGGGTGCATGTATGGCCGACCCAAACAAACTCGAGTCTAATGTATGATGTCATCCTTAATAGTATCCGAATCTTCTTTATTCAATGAATCTCACAATACTTGAGTACCAGAGCATAACAAGATCTTGGTGACCTAGATAAAATTGCTCTAATCTTGACTTCGACCGCAACTATTCGTCCTTCATCACTCTATACACCCTTAAATGAGATAGCGATATTTATTGTTAAATTAGTTGGTCTAGACATTCAAAGGAGTGCTGACGAACGTCGAGCGAGGTAGAATGGCATATAAAGCCATGCTGAAAGTTTCTGAGACTTCAACAATGTCAATGTATATGGTGATGTTGGTGTTCGAGATGAAGAAGGAGAAAAATGAGGAATACGGGGAGAAGCAATGTCACTCTCCAATAATGTACGTGTTTACTTATTTTCTATTGAGTTTCAAGTCTTAAAAAAAATTTCTTATTACCAAAAAATGGAAAATGTAGGAGGAAAATGATTTACGTCACATTTCTCATTTTTCGACATGAATACATTTTTTCTAGAAATATTCATCTTACATATTGCGAAGCACTCAAGAAAAATAGCTATGCTTGAAAATTCTTCTTTCAAGAAAAATAAATTTTCGTGTATAGTGTTATTTTCCTTTAGAAAATGATAATCCCAACTCACTCTATCCTATTTTCATCTTTCTTTTGATGAAAACATTTACTCCCTCCGTCCTATAATGATCTTTCCGGTTCGCAAAACGAAGAAAAATTTCAAGTTTTTTCAATATATTTTATTTAAATATTGGTATAGAAATAAAAAATAAAACATACATATTTAAAAACTACATCAAAAGTTCAACAAAACAAGTGGTGACAAGAATATTTTATTTTATCATATAAGCCATGAAAAAACACAAATAAATATAAATTCCCGTGAAATTGGAATAGTGTTGTGGAAAGATCATTATAGGACGGAGGGAGTAATAAATGGTAATCCTTTTCTCTATTCTTCATCATTTTCACGTATAATTTTATTTCTTTTAATTTTTTGTTGGGATGGAGGGAAATTGGAACATATTGTCATTTTCTCATAAATCAGTGGGAGCTTCACCAAACCAGGAAAAAGAAGGTCAGCACTGCAACAGGTTCGAGAAACAGAATCAATGGATCCCAATTTCCAGATCCACACCACCCTCCAATGTTGTAGCTTACGTAGCTACCTGACGGCAGACCCCGTCTTTTCAGTCTCCTCAGATATCAGTGTATGTATATAAAGCCTCATCTTTTCTTTCTCCCAACATCCAAGAAACCGATAAAATCATAAACAAGGGAGAAAATTCCGCGAGATCTTTCATCAGATCGATTCCAAGGCCCAGTTTCCCACCGGTCTTCACTTTCAATGGCGCCGAAGGGGAAGCACGGCCGGTGGCAGCCGAGGAGGGCGTCGCCGTCGTGGGCGACGCTCTTCGCCGCGCTGGTAATGGTTGCGTTCTTCGCTTTGATTCTCCTAGGTTTCGGGATTCTATCGAGTTCCAGAGATTCCCAGGAAGCGCACGATCTCAGCACAATAGCGCGCAGCATACTGGAGAGGTAAGTGTACTTCACTCCCTACTTCGATTGCCCGACTTCGGGAAGTTCGTCGCTGATCTGATTGTTTTTTTGTTTGGAACTGTGTGGTGCAGAGAAGATGGCAGTGAAAGAGGAGATCAATGGGTTGAAATAATTTCCTGGGTGCCTAGGGCATTTGTTTATCATAATTTCTTGGTATATTTCTTCAAACATTCCTTTTTTTTGCCGTGAATTGATTTATGTGTTTATGTTGGTGAAAATGATTGGTGTCTTCTCGCTAACCCATCCCCATCTGGTCAACCCCTCACCTAAATCTCATCCCCATCTGGCCTTAATCCACTTTGATCTTCAACGCATTGCTCAGAAAAAAGATTGCCTGGATACTAAAAGCAATCACCTTAGCACAAGTTTCATAGTCTTTTTTAGCTTTTAATGGAGCCCATTCAAAGAAGACTAACAGGTTAAAGTTTTAAATCAATCGGGGTGGATCCTATCATTTAGATATGGCTTCTGCACTGAATTTCAACTTGAAACAGAGTGTTCCTTTCCCAAACTGAGTGCAATTTTGGTTTACATTCATTTTCATGCCCTTTTATTTTATAAAAGCAAAAGAAAGAAGCATTTAATACCAAATTTCACTTTCTCCTTTCTCAGTTTCTCAACCATCATAACAATCACCCAAAGTAACTTCTAATTCTCCAAGAAATGATTTTAATTAAAGGTATGTTTGAATCATGGGAGAGGATGATATAAAAGGTACCAACTTTAATGAAATAGGCATCTGTGTAAGAAAATCAAATGATATTGAAAAAAGGAATAAAGAGACTGAAAGCAACATATTTTCACAGTTTATGTAATGGGAGTTTGGAAGAATTTATATATATATGGACTATTATTGATGCAAAACAGAAAAATTGGACTTCGAGTTTTTTGGCTAATACTCCACAGACCTAGAGAATTCTGAGCTCTCCAAATTAGGGGCTCTTTTAAGGATCCTGTGCAATTGGTCTCTCTGTGCCTGCTATTAGATTAGACGACACTGCTAAGGATAGTTTAGGTATAACAGTATTATTTTGCAACAATGTAGGATAATGAGTTTTAAAACAAAATCCGTGTAAATCTTCCTTAAACAACACTTATTATGAAAGGGGAGTGTTTTTTTTTGTTTGTACAAGGCAATTGGTGTATGCAATATGGACAACATAGATAGTTAGAATTGTGCTCTCTTCACTAGTTCACTAATTAATTGTACTCCTTCTATCCCACTATTTTTGGGACATGGGGTAGTGGCACTCAAATTAAGAAAATTGGAATTGTATGGTTGATTTTAAAGCTAAAATGTAAGAATGGATGTGAGTTGCACGGTTGTTACTAAATACGATTTTAGAAAATAGTGTGGTGATAAAAAAGAGTAAAAGGGGACAAAAATAGTAGTACAAAGGGAGTTAGTTATGTTTATAATTGTATACCATGGTATAAAATGTGTTTTTACCACCCCATACATCATGTGTACAAAATAGTCAATTTTGTAATTTTGCCCCCCACCCTCACCCCAACCCCACTGGTTTTACTTGTGTACTGTTTTGTGTACTATATGCTCTTTATATTCTATGAGAAGTAATATTATGGTGCAAGTTGGAATTGAAAGTGAATTTTCCCAAGGGTAAACATGATTACTTGCTCCGATGGAATGCAATTGATGTAAAAACTTGCTCCGTCTATTTTCCCTTATTTAGACAGACTTGGTATCACCAAGTGTGGTTTCCTCCCATGCTGTGTCTGGGGCATTGTAGTAGGGAAGTGCTGTGTGTTTGCATTCATAAGTACATTGTGAATAATCTTGAGCTTGATACTCATACAATTGCAAAACAGTATATGGTTTTGTTTAGTCATTTAATTCTTTTGTTCAATTTATGAACTTTGATATAAAACGTAAGAGATGGGCATAGTGTGCTTGGATGCAATACGGAGTGAGACTACTGATGAATTATTGGTATACCAAAGGCGTAGGCCCAAAACCTCTGTTCATAGTTAGTTTAGTATTGCTTGTCATAGTCAGTAAATTTCAACCCAATTTCAGCATGATTGCGATCTAGCTTAGTTGCTAAACCCATCAGTTGTTATTTGCTTAGTAACTAGCCTTCTTGAAGGATGGAAATGGATACCTTTGGGTGAGGAGAAGGGGTTAATGCATAATTGCCTAATTGGCCATTAAAAAGGTTGAGATCACAAACAAAAAATGATTTTGGAGGGGCTGTGGGTTTAACTACAATTCTGTCTAAATTATTTAGATTTCATGTCAAGATATGTGTTTGGATGCCAATGTGATAGCTAGATTATTGGTGCTGTAAGTTTATGCGTACTCAGTGCTTACAGTTCTCATTTCTAGTGCTTAGACTGTTAAATGGTCTGATCGGTCTTTAAGACCAACAGATTAACAACTTGTTATGTCCTTTCTCAGTCAAAGGATGAATGCCAATATCTAATTAATCTTGCTAAACCCCATATGGAAAAGTCAACGGTTGTTGACAATGAAACTGGCAAGAGCAAAGATAGCAGGTGAGCATCCATTTGCATGCAGGTGTGGTTTAGTTGCACTTTAGAATATGTTTCTTTCAGGTTTGTTATTTCCTACTATAATTTTCAGGGTGCGTACAAGCTCAGGAACCTTTCTTGCTAGAGGTGGTGACAAAATAATCAGTAACATTGAAAAAAGAATAGCAGATTTCAGCTTCATACCTGTAGGTAAGTTGTTCAACAAAAACACAGAAACTATTTGACTGGATTTAGTGTGTTCTGGGACCTGAGAAAATTACAAATAACTCCCTCCGTCCACTATATTCTCTTTTTACCTTTTTTTGTCTTTCCCCTATAGTTGTCCCGTTCCATATTTGTCATATTTGTGTAGTTCAAAATTCTTTCTACTTTGTCCATCCTTTACATATCCATATCAATCACACAATTTCACTTTTCCTTGATATGTGTCACTTCATTATGTCCCAAAGAGAGTGGGAGTGTGAGATGGAGGGAATACTTTTTTATCCTAATCTCCTTATGGAGTTAGAGTCAATAGTATTGTACCGTGATGAAACATGAATCTTTTGCTACAGAGGTGGACTCGTGTGGTTATATTTATTTTTTGTTGAACAAATTTGAACCAAACTCATTTATATGATGTTTTTAATCAAAATCTAATATTCTATGATATCTGAAAACTTGAAGAAGCAGTCAGTAAGAGCCAAAACTACTCTAGGGGTATCATTATGTGATATACTGCATCTTTCTTAGTTGTCTTGTCATTTTTATGAGGCAATGTACTACAAAAGTAAAAAATGCTTCTCATGTTTCGCAGAAAATGGGGAAGGCCTTCAAGTTCTCCACTATGAAGTCGGCCAGAAGTATGAACCACATTATGATTACTTTGCCGATGAGTATAATATCAAGAATGGGGGCCAACGAGTTGCTACGCTTCTCATGTACCTGTAAGGAATTTTTCTTGCACGGTATAATTTTCAATTTTCTTTAAGGGTTCGTTTGTAACCTGGAAAATGCTAAGAGAAAGCGAGGAAAGTAGAAGATTTATTTGGGAGATACTAAAAATTTGATTCAGTTTTAATAGTAATATTTTAGATACTTGTTCAAATGCATCCTATTTATATAATTCTAGAATTTTACCTATTATACAAAGACTAAGAAATCTAAATAGATGAAAGAATATAAAAAACTATAACCAAATTTAATTTTCTTTTGTATTTTCCATGGTAAAAGTGCAAAACCCAACATTTAAAAAATAATTTCCTTAGCATTTTCTCTTTCACTATAATTTCCCACGTTCCAAACATATCATAAAAACCTTCGCTTGTGATCTTTTAAGCATGTTCCTTCTTGCAATTCAGGTCTGATGTTGAAGAAGGGGGAGAGACATTATTCCCAGCTGCAGAGGGAAATTTTACTGCAGTTCCTTGGTGGAATGAATTGTCTGAATGTGGAAGACAAGGACTTTCTTTAAAACCAAAGATGGGCGATGCATTACTTTTCTGGAGCATGAAACCGGATGCATCCCCAGACCCATCAAGTTTGCATGGTCAGTAAGCAATTGTCTGGTTTGGGGATTTAGGAAGGCATGAGGAATGTTTAATCTGTTTATCCTTACATTTTGATGGTTGCAAAGAAAGCGGAGATGAAAAATACTCCATAATATAGAACAACAAACCCAGTAAAATCCAACAAAAAATAGGGTCTGGAGGTTGTGGGAGTGTGTACGCAGAACTTACCCCTAGTATGAAGTAGAGAAGTTGTTTCCGATAGACCACCGGCTCAGAGACAGAAGTACGAATAGAGTCAAAGAAACCCACTGAAGTTTGAACAAATGATTGGACTAAGGGGTTGGAGTTGTAAAGTTGGATGTTGGAAGAAAATGAAATAAGTTGGAAGAAACTGGATGGAGTAGGAAAAACTAGGAGTTGGCAAACACTAGAAGGAGCTGGAAAATGTTAGAAAAAATAAAGTGTTAAAAAAATCACTCAATTAAATAATCACCCAAATAAATATGTAAGAAAATTAATTTGGGATATAATAAAGAATTCATCTTTATCCATATTTGAGGTGTTATATTTATTATAAATCTGGATATATAAAGTTATTGTATAGTCATCATATGCAAATACATTTTAACCGAAAAGAACAAAGCCTAGGCAAATACTCCATGAAGACTAGCAGATAGAGATAGTGTAGCTGAACATGTGTATTAATCCTCCCCTTCCCCCCCACAATCCCCAAACCAGACAATGTCTTAAAACTCTCATTCCTTTGATGTTTGCTGTGATAGTAGTGCTTTAGCTAATCTACATTTACATTTGTCAACTTGAACTGCACTTGAGACTTGACTGGATTACCTAATGATTACTCCCTAATATTTTCTCTTTCTGTGTTGATAGGTTCTTGCCCTGTAATAAAGGGTAATAAATGGTCATGCACAAAATGGATGCGGATTCACGAATACAAAGTATAAGCCGTTGTTCATGGTAAATTCTTTAATCACACAACAAATTATATGTTTTCCCTTAATTTTAACGCATGAACTCCATTAATCGTTATAATAATGTTAATACAGCCTGTACCTATATACTGAAACGAGTGTTCTATACATTCTTACAGGTTGTGAAATAGATTTTGCTGTGCCCTTTTCTATATGGCTACACTTGTATCTAATGATTGGGAAATGTTACAGAAGAGAATTTGGAAAAGGAACAGCCATACAATACTAGGAAAAGGTTGCCAAGATAGCTTTTTTTAGACACACATTTTGTTGTTGTTATAAACATGATTGTTGTCAATGTTTTAGGGGCTGTTTGTTTCAGCCTCTTAATGGTTCAGATGTCTGAATGATTCAACACTTAATGGTTCAGACTGTTTGTTTCAGCCTCTTAATGGTTCAGATGTCTGAATGGTTAAGAGATTTGCCTCTGAATGGTTAAGTATTATACAGAGTCTGAATGGTTAAGAGCTTTTATCTGAATTGATCAGACATTTGCCTCTGAATAGTTAAACAATATACTAGCTCTTAATGGTTCAGACCTCTTACTGGTTCAGCACTTAATGGTTCAGACCTCTTACTGGTTCAGCACTTACCCATTCAGAAGTTACCAAACAGCCCCAATCTTGTTTCAATGCCTAGTGGGCGTTTGGTAGCCACTTTCTTTGGCTTATTTGCTACTTTCTTCGTTCCAATTTAAGTTGTCTGTTGCTTTTTGTTATGTTTGACTAAAATTATTTTTAATTCAATTTATTTGAATATTGGTGGGAATTAAAAAATAAAATTGTTTTTTTAAAAAATATATTAAAAGTCTACGAATCAAGATGTGGCATCTTTATATTATTTCATCAAGTACGTGTTATGTTGGTGTCAAAGAGAGGTCTCAATACACAATACATGACACTCTTAGGCTCCATTTGGTTTACGAAATTCAAGCCATGGAATTGGAATTGGAGATTTTAATTCTAATTTTGATATTTGCTTACACAAAAATATGTCGATTTAGAATTAAAGGTGTAAAAATGATTTGGAATTGGAGAATTTAATTTCATCCAATTCAATTTTATAGCATTTTAATTTCAATTGAATTCTAATTTTGTCAATTACTTGTATCAAACAGATCTTTAATGTGTTAGAAATTTAGGGATCCCCACTATGGGCATGTTTCGCAATATCGTTAGAGATTAGTGTTATCGTTTTCGATAAAATTTTAACGGTGCAGATTACTTTGAAAACGCTAACGTTAAACGCTACCTGTAGATAGTCTTTTCAAAACACTAATGCTATTACCAAACATGCCCTATATCATGTCTCCAATTTAAACTCTCTTTCCGATATTCAAGTCATTTTTGAAACATCTCTTTCAAATTATCAAATTAGGTTATCCCCAAACGTGTACTCAAACCAAATTCCCTTTATAGAGAACTTGAAGAAGCATCTTCACAAAATTATTGCTTGAATTGAGATTCAAATTTTAAAATGACCTCTAATCTTATTTAGCATGTACTATCTATGTATCTAAGAACCATTACCACTAAAGAAAAATACCATTTCTACACTGTTTTTGATTCAATTTTTTCATTTCCTTATCAAAACGAAGAAGAAAGAATTAAAGGCAAAAGGGCAAATTGGTACTTTAGATGTAATTTATTTTCCAGATAAGGAAATGAAAAAATGATAGTACAAGATCCAAAAAAGAAAGGTTAAAATAAAGAAAGTTGAGAGGAGTATCAAATAAGAGTAAATTCCTTAAATGATCCATAATTATTTGTGATTTTTCATAACTAGTTTCTAATAATAAGATATTACATAAATATTTCTTACTCTTTGAAAACTATTCTAAAATTGGTCTTTCAGGGTTTGTATGTGAAATTTGTCATATTTGGCCTAAAGGATTATTCGTGGAATAGTTTTAAAAAATTATGAACCATTTATATAATATCTTAGAATTGAGGACTGAATATATAAAATTACCAATAGTTATGGCCGGGTAATTTCTGGAATTTACTCATCAAATAAATTAAATTTTCGTTGCATATTAATATAATAAAATAAATTTTTGATATTTTTTTACAAGATAAAAATAATGAAATTATTTTGGAATCAATACCTAAAATTATTGTTATTTAATTGATGATCAATATTGTTGGAATGCATGAGTTCAACCCTTTCTGTATTGTTTAGTGTTGACTCACAGGTTTTGATAATTGACAAACACAATTTATTCAAGTCAAGATTAAAGTGCTACAACGACAAACACGAAGACTTGAAGTGTCATTCCTTGAAGTATTCAAAAAGGTGCACAGGATTTTGTTGAAGTTCGAGACGCGTCCGGAGCGCCTAACGGAGGACTCGAAGGAGTAGAAGATTTCTGAAGACTTTTTATTTATTTGAGTCTTAGGAATTATTGTAAGGATAACAAAAATATCATCTCTCCAAAATTATTTTTATGAGAGTTAGAATAAAAATTATATTTATTTTTGGAGTCAGTTGAAAAATCTTTTTAACTGTTCAAAATAGTTTTATTGAGTCAGTTACAAAAGGTGTGCCAAACATTTATCAAATATTTTTTTTGATATTATAAAATATTTTTGGTAAGCAAAAATATTTTATTCAAATATTTTTGTGTACATCATTTGACACAAAATAATTTTTGGACTCACTTTCTCCCCTATTCAAACTTATTGAATAGGAGATGTTTTTTTGATTGAGGAGCGTTGCTCTTATTCTCGCTGTCTCAAACAAATAGGATACTGCCAATTTGTTTCCTCATCGCAACTTGGCTGGGGCTATTTGTGTTGCGCTTTATTTGAGAAGTAATCGATTAATCCTTTTGCAATAATCAATTATTTGATTCTTGCCAAGCGGAGGACTTCTGGCTTTTGGACCAAATCGATTTTCTCCTTCCATTTAATCGATTAATAGCTTTTCGTCGTTGGATTCACAGGCCTGTCTGCTAATCGATTCTTTTTCCTCTTTTAATCGATTAGTTCGGATAGAGGCGACTAATCGATTTCTGTACCTAATTTAATTGATTAGTTCCATTTCCCTTTTCAGGCTTTTTCGCCTCTGTGTACCGTAATTGATTTAACTATCTTCGTTAATCGATTAATTTTATCTGGTGCATATTCTCAGCTTCTTTTCTTGGACCAACGGATATATTTCTTCATCTCCTATTTTAAACTTCACTTTTTGGTCATTTTTACTATGAACAAGCACTTCTAAAATCCCTCAATCTTGAGGTTATAATCCTCCATTCATTTCTTCCTCAAATTGATATATTTTGAGAGGAAACTAAGTGTTTTCAAGAGAGTGTTCTTGCCATCCATAGAGCTTAACATTTTCTCATTCCTACTCTTTTGAGAGTTTATGTTGAGAGGCTGAAGAAGATTGTTCTTCTTGTTGTTCAAGACTTATGTGACTTAAGTCTTGGTTGTGAAGTCTTGTATAGGACACATCTACGAGCGGTTGTGTTGAGGCTTGTGGGATTCAAGTTCTCGGTTTGTAAACGGTTTGTCAAGCACCCGTTGAAGCTTGATAAGTAGTGGTAGCTTCGAGAGAGTCTCTCGGGGAATTGGACTAGCCACGAGGTGGTGAACCAGTATACATCGGTGTGTTCTTTGCCTTCTCTCTTTTATTTTCCGCTGCACTTACGTTTATATTATTAATCCTACGAAAAACGGTAAACATTCTCAACAACTCTATTCACCCTCCCTCTAGAGTTGCACGCATTGTCTAACAAATATTTGTCTAATTTAATTCAAAAATGTAAAATTGAAGAGAACAATGAACGTAGTGTTCTTTATCCGTTTTGGAATGATATTCTAAGGGCCTGTTTGAGAATAACTTTAGAGATTAGCGTTAGCGTTTTGCATAAAATTTTAACGGAGATTACTTTGAAAACACTAAACGATGTTCGTAGATAGCCTTTTCAAAACAATAACGCTAATAGATAATGTTATTTCCAAACAGACCCTAAATAATTCTCTGAACTAGAATAGAAAGAATAATTTTATGAACTAAAATGGAAAGAAAGAACTGATTTTTTTATAAAAGAAAAGATGAACTCTTTTTTTTTATAGTTTTAACATTTTTCTAATGGAACATACGTAGTATGAATTGATTTATCACGGGCGTGTACATGGTATTTTGGACTTTTCAAGTTTAGGTTCATACTTCAAACTAAAAAAACTGACAAAATTAAACCGCTATGTCCAGATGGAACCTAAAGTGAATGAATTTTGGGTCGGTCTTCGTTCCCAAAAAAGTAAGCATTGGGCTTTCGGTCCGGTCCAATTTAAACCCAAAATAATTTAGGTTACGTTCAATTGGACTAAATGAATCTATTAACCCTATTGAACCTAAAATACGTAAACACTAAAACTTTATTTTTAATATCCAGTATTATGAGGCGAGGCTCTATTTTGATTGACATATTAATTTATTCTTAATTTATTTAATTAACAAGGTTTTTTTTGTTAACTAATGTTTCCCAACAATTCATAAAAAAATTGTATTACATTAGTTTTTATGACTACACATTGTAGGAAATTGGAATTGAATGTCTTAATTGCATTGATACCATAAACCCCTATATATAGTACAAAAGTTACCAAATATAAACAAGGAAATACAGTCCTACAAGGAAACATATTAGAACTAAATATGTACAAATATATTTCAATACTCCCCCTCAAGTTGGAGCATGAATGTCGAAAATGCCCAACTTGGAGAGTAGAAAACGGAAGAGTGGATCGGGGAGTGCCTTTGTGAAAATATCAGCAATCTGAAGTCGATTAGGGACATAGGCCATAAGGACATGCTGACGAAGACGGCACTCTCGAACATTATGACAATCAATATCAATATGTTTAGAACGCTCATGGAACACGAGGTTGGCGACAATAAACAGAGCAGATTTGTTGTCACAATATAATTTCAGAGTAAAGATACAAGGAACGGATAGAGCGGTGAGCAAACCACGAATCCAGCGAAATTCTGCACATGCATTAGCCATAGCACGATACTCTGCATCGGATGATGAACGAGAGACCGTGGTTTGTTTCTTTGAGTGCCATGAGATTGGTGATCCACCTAGAGTATAAAAAATCCATTAATAGAACGTCATGTAAGAGGACAACTAGCCCAATCAGAATCAGAGTAAGCAGTGAGGGCTAAGTTGCTATCACGACGAAAAAAGATACCTTGACTAGGATGTCCTTTGAGATAACGGAGGACACACAGGGCAGCTTGTAAATAATCTAGGCGTGGGTCCTGCATGAATTGAGATAAGACGTGCACGAAAAAACGAATATCTGGACGTCTCAAGTCAGGTACAACAAATGGCCAACAATACGTCGATACTTAGTTGGATCACAAATTTCTGAACTGGTGGACCACAAGGTTGTGGCCGGGCTAAATAGGTGTCGCGCTCCCTATGCTGGACGGACGGATTTGGTGGAACTTTTTGATGGACAGTATACGCTGGGTGCTTACAAAGGAAAAGGGAAGGAAGATGGACGGACAATGCTTGCAGAGGAAGACGAACGGACGGCGCTGGACGGGCGACATTTGACTTAACGAGATTGCATAGACAATGTAGGATTTCCTTAGGAAATTGCTCGATACCAAGTAGGAAATTGGAATCGA